ATTTGCAAACTCTGGAAAGGTCAGGCAGTATATCCTGCTTTATCATACTTTTATTCCTTCTGGTTTACCTTTTCACTTCTGCTGCATTTTAAGAAAAAGCAGAATAGAAAATTTGCTGGTTTGATTTTTAAATATTTTTGAGAAACTGTCTTTAGTTCTTTTTGAATATTGTGCCGAAAGGTTATAGTACCTGCAAATTAACCAAGACTACTCTTATTCAAAGCACTTAGGAAAGGATAATCTCTACGCTTCTAAAGAAGGAGAGGGGGGAGAAATCACATTTCTCCTGATGTTTTTGGGAACAGACTTTTCCTAAACAGCTTCACAGAATTCTTTGATTGTTTCATTACACTCTGTGCCAAAGGTGGACAGTTGCAGAAATGATTTTGCACTGAGTTTGGCAAAAGTGTGAAATAGGGTTTATTTAGCTTTTTTATTTTTATTTTTAAGATGGATATAAGTAAGATGTTCCAGACTTAAGTGTGCCCTGTAAGAATGGAAAGTGACATTGTTGAACAGAGCAGAAACAAATTGAATTCTTAGATTATTTTTCATCTATTAAAATATGAGGTCACTACAGCAGCTCTGGGTTTTTTTTTTTTTTTACTACTTCTATATATGAAAGTCAGAATTCCTGCATATACTACTGTTGTAGTAGTAATCTCTTGCACAGTTTATCTGTAAAAATTACCATTTATGCTTAACTTAAAGTCTTCCAAATTTTAAGTCTTCTAAAACTTTTTATAAAATGTTATCATTCAGATATTCTGTAGGCATGATTAGTATTATCTGATGTACATAATGAAAAATATCTTTTCATGCCACCGGAGGAATAAAAACCAAACTTAATTTAGAAAAGATGACACTGAATGCAGAAGCTTTCTTATGAACTTAATTTAAAAAAAGCACAAATGCTCTGGAGCATTTCCATGAAAGAGGAGTCAAAAAGATAAAACCAGGACCCATGTAAAAGTGTTTTGGGAGAAAACAATTGGATGTGTCTATGAGGATTTCTAACTGGACAATGTTTATGTAGAAAGCACCCAAAAACTGTCAAAACAATTACACATTTGCTGTAATGAACAGAAGTGAGGAAGTTCCAAAAGCAGTTTTAGCTTACTGCAGGGTAATTACGAAGAGCATTCAGTTTATAATTTCAAGCTTATTCCTAAAATTTACTTTAAGGAAATTGCAGACATACAAAAATTGTTACGTAAATAACAATAAAATTTAAAGAGTGAAAAATCCCTTCATGAAAACCAGAGTCAAAGTGAGATCTTTGTGTAAATAATAGTTAAGTCAATAATTTACAATGCATCTAAATTCATCATCAGTTTCTTCTTTATTTCAGTGTAATTAAAAAATGCTAAATTGGCTGGTTTATTCATATTTGGCTACCATAAGAAGAGCGAAGCTGTGGTACTGAATTTGCAGATGCAACTCTGAATTCAGAGCTGTTCTCTGATAGACGGGGCAGTGAAAAATAATCAAGAGAATATGTAGAGAAAGCCACAAACAAACTTTGAAGAATAAAAAGCTTTCCCTAGCCCTTTACTCTTCTGCTTTTCATGCTCATGCCTTTCTATGCTTGAGACAATCCACTAGATAAACAAACTTTTGGCAAGCAAATTGTATTTTAAAAGCACAGTATGAGCTCAGGGGAAAAAGTTCCTTTAAAACTTAAAGAAAATTGGAGATTAAATGTCTAAAATAAAGTTTGGAGATACTTTTTAAATGCTATCAGAAAAAAAATCCTAGGCCAAGTTACAGCTAAAATGTGCAGAGGCTTCTAAAAAAACCAACGTTTGAGTGGTTGACTTGTTCCCATTCTTTGAGGAAGTACTTAACACAGCCCTTTGCAAATGCCTATGGCTTTCCATTAAGAAATGCAGCTTTTCCTGTGACGTCACCTGAGAAACACTGGAGAACCAATACAAAAGATCCTACAGTACTTTTGAACAGTGGACCTGTGAGTGGCCTTGATATGAATAAGATAAGCACTAATGACTTAACCTGCTTATGATTTTAATTTCATATTCAATACACTTTGTCTGAACTTCTGCAACAAGAATGACACGTACTGCATAAAACTAATTATAATTACTGTGCTGTATGCAATAAATACATTCTTCTTATAAGCAGTTACTCAGTGATAGAAGTAAGTAGAGGGGGGAATAAATCTTAGAAAAAAATATTCCTGGATTTTTCCAACAATTCCTTTCAGACGTTTTTCTAAGAAACTAAGGAAATGCTAAATCCCTTTGCTTCTACATTAAGTATCAGCTCCAGCTGTGATTTGTATACACTGATAGCAAAATGTAACTACTGTACTTCTGTACAGCCTTGACTCAGTGTTGATGTGAACCCTTGGAAAATGCAAGCTTTGATTCTCACATATGCAGTCACTTTACAGTCATTTTTGCAGACATATGCAAAGAATTGCTTTTGCAGAAACAAAACAAAGCAAGAAATCTACATTACTGCAAAGAGTTTATAAGGCCAAACAAAAAGAGAACTTGAATCCAGCATTCTGAACTCCTACAAGCAGACAGACAAATACATACATACATACATGTCTGTGTGGATCTTCAAGAAAAGTACACAAAACCATACATGACCATCCATTCTGAAAATCAACAGATGCCAGACAGTCCTTAGGTTGTATGAACTGTAAAATCTGTCTCAAAATGAACATCTGGAACATTTAAATCTTAAATCCAGAGTCAATCTTCTAGCACTAGATTCCTTGGGGATTATAATGAAAGACTGACTGCACAAACATCTGCCCTTGTCTGCTAATGGATTTATTTTCTTTATTTTCTCTTTATTTCTTTCTATTTCTTGTCCAAGCCATGGTAAAGTTTACAGTTGCTAGAATGCCATACGTACCTTAGCCCAGCATCACAAGTTCACTGTTAATATAAGATTACTCAGAACTTTTTGATTACATATGGAAGATTATTTTCCGATATTAGTAATTTTGACCTCTTGAAGTGTTTAAGCGTCTCCCTAAATCCAGAGTTGTCTCAATCTCTTAGTTTTTCATGGTTTGTTCTCTTGCTTTTACCTTCTACCTGTGCAAGAAAATTCTGAAATCTAAAGTAACAGAAGCATTGAGAAGAAATAATGACAATAGTGTTCTTGCTAGTGAAAAAAAGTATTTTAAAAAAAAGCCATTTCCCTTGCAGTATCTTAAAACTTCACTTCTATACACTTCTACTATTTCTTATAAAAAAAACACAGAAACCCCCACACAAATGTGTGCTTTACAACCATTTGGTCTGTCTGAATCATGGTTCTCTCTCTAAAACATGCATGTACCCTGCAGTGACTGCGTAGGTTCTTTACCTCCTTAATTTTCACTTGGCAAGTAGCCCAAGCCTCTGTTTTAAATTTCCCACTTGGTAGCACTAGTATGGCACCTGAAGAGTAATTAGTTGTAAGAAAGGGAATTTGAATTGGTTGCTGAGAAGGAAAAAAAATGTGCATGCCTAATAAAGATTTTTCCTTGAGTACCTGCAACACCATTTATTTATTTTTGCTTAGAATGCACCACCCTTTGTATAGACCAGTGACCATTTTTTATTTTTTTGTTAAACTTTCCAGAAAAACTGAGTGAAGGAAAACTGGTTTGGTTTTAAGCCCACACTGTTTCACTTTTAGTCAGTCTTTTACATTACAGCAGCACTTATCTTGACACAAATTTTGCCTGTTTTTTTTTTTTTTTAAACAGTTTCCTGATAATGGCCTTTTTTATTTTATTCCTCACATTGCTCTCCTATGGACAGCTAAGGTGCAGTCTTCTAGGAAGGCAAATCATGAAGATGTCTGAGCACGCAGAATATTTTACCTAAATTACACATATACTCTTTGTGAAGTTTATACTGTCCATGAAACTTTACATTATGATACTGTTTGTGAGATCGGCAGATCTCCATTGGTTCCAATGACCTTGGAAACTCTTTTTGAACAATTCATTACATATATATAGTTATGCAAAATGAGTAACAGAAATTAGGTTTTCTCTCCTCTAGAAATTAGCAGTTCCCCAGCCCTAAGAAAGTGAAAAGTGCTGCTCCTGGTACTGCTTCTGCCTTCTGTGCAAAGACAGAAATGCAGAGAAGTTTGAGGGGGAGGGGATTTGATTTCTTTTTTAATGTCTGCCTCCTTCCAGCAAGTCCATCTGTTGTAGCACTATAATTCTGGAAGCAGGATGTGTGTGTGACCAACAGGAGACAATTACTGCAAAAGTGTTTGTTGATTCAGCTCTATAAAGGGCAGGCCAATCACTACAGTATGAACAGAAAAGAATTCCAGCTGAGGAGCTGCATATAGATTAACACAAAATACATATATATAAATGAGAATGGGGAAAACCAGAAAGGAGTAATAGGAATGG